GGTGGCACTGGATGGGCTTTAAGGTCCCTCCCAACCCAAACCGTTCCATGATTCTAACACTGTGCTTCTAATTAATTTTAATAACTACACTGCTGAGAAATGCACGTCTAACATGTAGAAAAAATGTTTGCTTTTAGCAAAAATATCTTTTTTATTATTATTTTTTTTGTGATAATGTGCCTGGACAGAAGTTTTGGAATGGATTTATTTGAAGTGGGATTCCATATCCCAGGTTTTTTTTCAGTGTAATTCTGGGACAATCTGTGATCTTGTCGTATTTTAATACACAGAAAATCTGGCTTTTTGATGCCACTGAAGTCGCTGAGTCCTGAGGGCACTTTAATGAACTGGAGATTGGGTGAAAGCCTGATGAACTTTTGAAGAATTACAATCAGAGCACCTCTCACAGGTCAATTCTAGACAAGTAAAATCCCACAGGTGATAAAGAGTTTGTACCTTTATGCCTTACACTGGAAGGAAAATGCAAACTCTGATAAAGCCTGTCCTCATGTTTGAGTACCTGTCACAATAATGTAGTCCCTCATTATATATGGGGCTTTTTAGGAGGGTTTTCTTCCCCTGCAAAGCAATTAAATTCCCCACACTGCCCATCACTCACCATCAGACGTTTACCTGTGTCCCTGCTTTCAGTTTGGTCACTGAATGAGCACCTGAACATTCACAAGCCCGGGAGGAACATCCTGAAGAACTTTTATTTGTGGGTCTGCCCTTGGAGGGTCGTGACCTTAAAATGCTCGTTCTTAGTCACGTGAGGATGTAAAAAACATCCCTTTTTTTCTCCTGTTGAGTCAGACCACAACTGAAAGCGGGCAAAGTAGATCTTATTTTCCTTTCATTGAGAAGTCTCTAGAAAGAAGGTGGTGATTCTCCAGCCGTGGTGCTGCTGGGGTTGTGTTTCTGCCGGGGCTCCGCTGTGTGAGAGGTCCTAAAACTTGCAGCAAGGTTAGACCATTCCACAGATAACTTGCAGAGCAGAGAGGCAAAAAGGAGATGAGGTTTTTCAGGGCCCCCACAGCGATGAGAGTGTGGCAGGTCAGTGCCACAGAACGTGCCAGGCTTACCCTCCAACAGGTCCTTTAACAGAAAAACAAAAACCCCACTCAAACCCCTTTAATGATCATAGCAATGAGCCCAGACTTTTAAGAA